CACAGTAAACACATAAAATTATAAGCGCGATGTAACACACACCTTCTCAGGCTCTACGACACGATATACCACACACAGTAAACACATATTATAAGCGGGAAGTAACACACACCTTACAGGCTCTATGACACGATATACCACACACAGTAAACACATATTATAAGCGGGATATAACACACACCTTCTCATGCTCTACGACACGATATACCACACACAGTAAACACATATTATAAGCGGGATATAACATACACCTTCTCATGCTCTACGACACGATATACCACACACAGTAAACACATATTATAAGCGCGATGTAACACACACCTTCTCATGCTCTACGACACGCTACCACACACAATAAACAATTAATTAATTAATTGGATGCGGATCACCACCAAAATGTAATCAATTGTAAGTTACCTTATTTGTGACCTATCCTGAAAATGTTATTAATTAATTAATTAATTAATTGGATTCGGATCACCTCCAAAATCTCATCAATTCTAAGTTAGCCCATTTCTGACCTATCCTGAAAATTTTATGACAATCCGTCTATAACTTTTTCAGTTAGGCTGTACACAAACAAACCCACAAACCCACAAACCCACAAACCCACAAACCCACAAACGAACAAACACACGGCGGTGAAAACATAACCTCCTACCAACCTCTTGGCGGAGGTAATAACACACAATAAGCGCGCTATAACACACACACACACCTTCCCAGGCATCCCATTTGTCACGTCGACCGGAACTTCCTCCGTCTCATACGATCACAGAATTCGCACGCGAATTACGTGCGCGTACGCGTGCAGAACAACGTCGTTGTCTTCTTCTCGGAGCAGACGTGTGTTTGTGTGTATCTATAAGTCGAGCATGGCTGGCTGGCTGGCTGGCTGGCTGGCTGGCTGGCTGGCGGACTATAGCTAACGTACGTGTCGTGGCGTGTGCGACCGCGACGCGTACACGATCATCATATTTTATGCGCGTCGTACAGCGATTAGCGCGTGTAAAGTCCACAGCTCGCTAGACGGCTCGTGTTTGCTATACCCGCTCACAGACACTTGCTGCCCCTGCGTGCGTGCGTGCGTGCGTGCGTGCACGTGCGCGCGTGCCTTGCGATAAACAAAGGTTTCACCCCATGCAAAATGTAGATATTATAAGTGCATGGGCACACACGCATAACCACACACCACACACACACACACACACACACACACCACACACACACAACACACACACACCCACCACACACACGCACACACGCACACACGCACACACCGCACACACGTACACACGCATCACACACGCACGCACACGCACACGCACACGCACACGCACACGCACAACGCCACACGGCCACACGCACACGCATACGCACACGCCACACACACACCACACACACACGCACGCACGCACGTAACACACTCATAACACACACAGCACACACACACACACACACACACACACACCACACACACACACACACACACAACCACACATGCACACAACACATTCTCGTCTCTCTCTCTCTCTCTTTCTCTCTCTCTCTCTATATCACTATATATATACTATGATATATATATAGAATTATATATCATTATCATCCTATAATTATCTTACTCCTCGATATTATATCATCACGCGCGCCTCCGCAGCGTGCATTGCCACTATATAATATTCATACATTTTGCATGGCGTGAAACCTTCTGTTATCGCAGAGGCACGCCGCACGTGCACGCACGCACGCACGCACGACACGCAGGGCAGCAATGTCGTTGTGAGCAGGGTATAGCAAACCACGAGCCGTCTAGCGAGCTGTGGGGACTTTACACGCGCTAAATCGCCCTGTTGACGAGCGCCGCATAAAATCATGCTATGATCGGCTACGCGTCGCGGTCGCACCACCCACGTACACGCTACGTTTAGCTATAGGTCCGCCAGGCCAGCCCAGCCAGCCAGCAAAGCCAGCCAGCCAGCCGATGGCTCGACTTATAGATACTCACACAAATCACCACTTCTGCTCCGAGAGAAGACAGACGACGTTGTTCTGCACGGCGTTACGCGCACGTAATTCTGCGTGCGAATTCTGTGATGCGTATGAGACGGAGTGAAGTTCGCGTCGACGTGGACAAATTGGGGATGCCTGGGAAGGTTGTGTGTTGTTATAGCGCGCTTAATGTGTGGGTTATACCTCCGCCAAGAGGTTGTGTAGGAGTTATGTTTCACCGCCCGTGTGTTTGTTCGTTTGTGGGTTTGTGGGTTTTTGGGTTTGTGGGTTTGTGGTTTGTTTTCGGTGGTGACAGCCTTAACTGAAAAAGTTATGACGGATTCTCATAAAATCTTTAGATAGGTCTAGAAATGGGCTACTTAGATTGATGAACTTTTGAGGTGATCCGAATCTCAATTAATTAACTTAAATTAATAATAACATTTTTAGGATAGGTGCACAAATTCAAGGTTAAGCTTACAATTGGGCATTACATTTTCGGATGGTGCATCCGCATCCCAATAATTAATTATGTTATTGTGTTCGGTAGTCCGTGTTCGTAGAGCATGAGAAGGTGGTGTTACGATCGCGCTCTATAATAGTGTTTACGGCATGTGGGTTACTATCGTGTCGTAGAGCAATGAGAAGCGTAGAATAATATTATCCCGCTTATAAATATGTGTTACTGTGGTCGGTATTCAGCGTTCGTAGAGCATTAGAGATAAGGTGTATGTTATATCGCCTGACTAATCATGTGTTTACTGTGGGTTGTATATTAAGCTTTCGTAGAGCAGCAGAAAGGTGGTATGTTATATCCCGTTATAATATGTGTTTACTGTGTGTCGTATATTCGTGTCAGTAGAGCCTGTAAGGTGTGTGTTATATCCCGCTTTATAATATATGTGTTTATCTTGCTGTAGGTATATCGTGTCATAGAGCCTGTAAGGTGTGTGTTTACTTCCCGTTATAATATGTGTTTATTTGTGTGGTATATCGTGTCGTAGAGGCATTGAGAACGTGTATGTTAAATATCCGCCTTCATAAATATGTGTGTACTGTGTAGTGGTATTATTCGTGTCATTACGAGCCTGTTAAGGGTGTGTTTACTTCCCCTTATAATCATGTGTTTACTGTGTGGGGTATATTCGTCTCATAGAGCACTGAGAAGGTGTGTGTTATATCACCGTTATAAATATGTGTTTACTGTGTGTGCGTATTAATCGTGTCATAGAGCCTGAGAGCGTGTGTGTTAATATCCCGCTTATAATATGGTGTACTGCTGTGTGCTAGTATCGTGTCGTAGAGCCTGAGAAGGTGTGTGTTATCATCGCGCTGTATTAATTTTATGTGCTTTTATGTGTGTTGGTTGCGTGCATGTCGTAGCGCAAGAAGAAGTGTGTTTATAAAAGTACGTGATTTATTGTGTGTGGTAGCGTGTCCTGGCGTCCTAATCAGTAGCATTGCTTCAAACATCCTTAGACAGTGCGCGTGTACAGTGACAGCGCTGCGCGTGTATGTGAGCAGCATTCAAGCCATCCTCTCGCCCTATTCTTGATACTTAGAAAACCAGTGAAGGTTTATTTATGCTCTAGAGCAAATCGTCGAGTGTAAGTGGCTCGGTATAAAATTATCTAGCTGAAAATGTTGTTGTTTTTTCAAAACTAGTTGTAATGTATAGTCGGTGTCACATATAGCTGCTGACTAAGTTTATTTTTATTAGGTAATACGTGCGGCTGTTGTCCTGTGCGGTGGTATTAGCGCGGCATGGTTGTGTCGTGACCCTTTCCGGTGCGTGCATTTGTGCCGTGCCGTGGGTCCGTCTGCTATGGTCCGCGACCGTACGACTGCGTCCAATGGCGACAATTAGGACTCTGGTGTGCATTTGGCTTGTCAGCGGAGTGTGCGTGATGAGTATGCGTGCGTGGTGCCACCTGAGTGTATATATATAATATATTATATATAATAATATATATATATTACATATATGTGTGTGTGTTTGGGTCGTGTGGTGTGGTGTGTGTGTGTGTGTGTGTGTGTGTGGTGTGCTGTGTGTGTGTTGGGGTGTGTGTGGTGTGTGGGGTGTGTGTGTGTGTGTGTGTGTGTGTGGTGTGTGTGTGTGTGTGTGTGTGTGTGTGTGTGCACGTGTGTGTGTGTGTGTGTGTGCGTGTGTGTCGTGTCAGCTAAAAGATTTTTAATTTTTATTATTATTCAATATTAAGCAATATATCGAATCATTAAATAACTGGTTAGATGCTTTTTACGGATTACTTTTAGACCACGTTGTCTGTAACAGCGCCATGAAATACCCTCCTTATCTCGTCTTAATCGTGTATCAATTATCTAGCTGTGGATGGGTTTTTTCTTCTTTTTTTCTCTTTTTTCATCTATTTACTCTGGTGCGGTATTGTTGTGGATTGAAATCTGTTTTCGGGGGTGCGTAGTGGCGGGATCTGTTTACTGCTGCTAACAGTAATTACCTCTCAACCTTCGACAGCGGATGACCAGAGCAAAGGCGTTTTGCTTCTGCTCTAAATCAAAAACAAAATAATGTCGAGGCGAGTAACGAATTTTGTGTAATCAACATCTAGCGCTCAGTCTTTGGCCTGAATAGCTTAATATTATCGGTGTATGTGAGTTCATCACGAAGCTGCCTTACGCAGTACGACAAACGGTCATGGTACTGGCAGCCATTAAAAACAAACAAACATAAATTAGCTTAATCAGGCATAATTATCGTAGTGTATAAGAGTATTAAATTTTTTTAGTTAATTATATGTGAGTAAGTAGTTTATTAAGTACGTTGTAGCAGTATATTAGCCCTTCAATCAAGATATACTAATTCGGCGTACATGCAGAGAACGTGACAGAGACGGGGTTATAATAGCCGTACGTTCACAGAATACAACTCGGCTTAACCTTATGATGGACTCATAGTGTTTGATATTTTATGGAACCACTATAAATTGCGCACGAAGTTAATGTGTTTTATTCGGCGACACAATCTACGCATTTGAATTACAAGTCATCAACGCACGTTGATAGTGGCATTTCATCCGATAACCCGCGTTTGCCATGGTTAGCCAACTGCGTTTTGCTTATGCGGTTTTGAAGGCACACAACGAGAGTGCAACACACCCTGGAGAACTGTTCGAAGATCTCGCTTTGTGATACAATCCAGTCTTACCGCCAGTGTTCAATGTAAACCTACCGGCTCCACACCCCGTCGTTAATGATAATATACCTCGCACTCCCCGTGCGTTCATAGTAATATACCTCCCATCCACCGTGGTTCAAGTTAATTAGCCCTCCCACTCTCCCCCATGGTTTAAATGTAATTATACCTTCTCCACTCCCCCGTGGTTCAGATGTAATATATACCTGCGCTCCCCGTCGGTTTAATGAATATACCTCCCAGCTCCGCCGTGGTTCCATGTAATTATAACTTCCCACTCCGCCGTGGTTCAATGTAATATCCTCCCACTCCGCGGGTTCAACTGCAATATACCTCCCAGCGTCCGCCGTGGTTCAGTCTGTAAATGTAACCTTCTGAACTTTTTGCTTCAAGTATGCAATATACATGCTTATTTGTTTGTATAACGTTTACGCTTTGTAAGTGTGCTGATGTAATGTGTAATGTGTAACGTGGTGTTTTAGGCGTGCGTTGTAGATGTGTGCTTGCTTAATGTTGTTGTATTGTAACTTGTGTTTTCAGGCGTGGTTTGTAACGTGTGCTTGTAATGTGTAATGGTAACTCTGTGTTTTGTAGCGCTGCGCGTTGTAATGTGTGTTTGCTAACGTATCGTTGCTATAGCGGCTTTATTAGCTACATAGGTGACGATCTGTTAGAAGAGTCCGAACAGAT